AAAAAAAATAAAAAAAGCCTACCTACATTAACACCACTATGTAGTCACAGTAACGACAAAATCTATAACCCTCGTCCCAAAGTCCTTTGCAACAGAAAGGTCAAACAATAATTCAATAGTAAGAAATGTTTGTCACCAATAAAATGCGTTGCTTGAAATAAAAGCTAACGAGGTCACGAATACTTGCCTACTATAATTTGTGTGAAATTATTAATTAGCTAATCGAGTTAGTGCTTTATCGTGACAATCTGTAGCGTGAGCGCTCGACAACAATATTACTGGAGCGGCGGCGTGTGGGACTTCTTAAAGCGTTGTTAACTGTTCGTGTAGTAAAATTAAATATAGTTTTCAAACAATTTGTATTATGTTCGTTTATTGTCTTAATGAGAGCTTAAAATATTTAGTTTAAGTATTTATTTCAATGGTCTAGAATCCTCTATTCATGATAGTTTAGCATTGAGTATGTATGTTTGTGTTGGAGTCGGTGATACTTCAATAGAAACCAAAAAGTTTGTAGGTACGTAGGTAGGTTTAAAGAATACTCATGATCATACCTAAACCTCCAATATATCTATATGAACATCGATACCATACATCGATAAACGCGAGCTATGCCTAGGAGCCATTAATAGTGATCGAATGATCGTTTAGCGTTGCGGTCAGCACCGCAGGGGGACATAATCGAATATTGGCTCGTAATAGCGATTGCAAATCGATTGTGAGCCGCACAATCGAGTTCCCGTAATCGAGCGGTCGTGATGAAGCTTTCATTGGTCCGTAACTAAGCTCGTTTCGTTTGTGTCTGTGTGGGTTTAAATATTGGACGATATTCATTTGTTTTGTGTCCCCACGAAATTGTCAGCCGTAGGTACGTTTGTAATTCCACCACGGCCGTCAAATCGTTGGACATGTCCTTAGTGAGTTTGCCTCATTTTAGATTTGATGCTAAATTCGATGATTGCAATGTAATTAGTTGTTCGCTGGTAGTTTATTTCATCAATGTTTATTGGTATGGTTTTGTAATTATGCGTAACTGGTACAGTTAGTTATATATTTTATAGGTTTTCCTATGTTTTGCGTATAACTTTTGTACAGGCTCATTGACTTTGGTTGCCAAACATATGTCTGTTATCATACCATTAGAGTTTTATACAGTCTGTAACTTTCAAAATCTTAGTGGTAATACTGAAGTGTGATTTGCATCTTAATCGTCTTCCAAAAAGAACAGAGTGTTAGCTAAGTAAGTACTCACTTATTAAAGATAAAAACAAAATACTTAACTTTAAAAAACATGACATTTCGTATATTAAGCTGACAACTCAAGTTACAACTTCAATTAAACTTAAAAGCATCAATTAGAGTAAGATAATCGAATTACTGGAACATTTCATTTGAGAGCGTCAGAAGTTGCGTGTCAAATGAACGCGATGTAAAAACAACATCGGATGTAATCATTATCAATTAAGTAGCAAATTGGGAGGAGCTTGTTGATATACATAAGTACTTAGCTGTAGGGGACCAATCGCTTGAGAGGTTTATGCTTGACGAGTATTGTCTACCGATGCTATGCTTTGCCTACCAAGTTTATGCTTGTGTCGATAGAAAGAGAAAAGATTGGCACCGGTAAGCTTGCTTTTCTGGACTTTTTTTTGGCCAGTAATTCTACAAGATAGACTGGGAACTAGGCTACAAAGTTACTCGAGAGGAACCTTCTTAATGTCACGCAAATGAAGCAGCAGATGGAAAATAATTAGACTAATATGAATTTTTCTATAATAATACATATAACTGGGTAAAACTCAACGGTAAAATTACTTACATATGGAGATCAGAGAGATCAATAATGGAACCAAAGACAGTACTTACTCTACTAGCAGAATTTGTTTAAGACAACATGACCAAGCTGATAGACGTCATAAGGATGCTGTAACAATGACAAAATTAAGTCAGCTTCCCAAGCAAAAGATTAAATAACGTCTAATCCGCTACAAGGCAAACTTAAATGAACCTTACATTATTTAAATGCTAACTGATTGAATCTAATTTCTTTTTCCAAATACAAATCAATAATTCAATCACGAATCCATTTTGAAAATATCATTAATGCTACGAGGAGCTTTAATATATACGAACACGGCAAATCTGACACATGACTAGGGTTACCACATTAAAAAACAACAAGACAAGCCATTATAGACGATAATGCTCGCGAGTGTTGCCAGATTATCGATAATTATTACAAAAAGGAAAAAAATACGGTTTCAGATCGTATCGTGATAAGTGTAAAATGTCTTAATGCGTTGCCTACAATATTTTTATTTGTTTTGTGTGCCGCTTGTAATCTGCCTTAGTAATCTAAATGTGACACCACGCTCTCTTTCTTGCGGCCTTAAGAATCTGTAAGAGAGACAGAGATGGCACGATGTTGTGACTTTTGATCGCTCAATCTACTACGGCGTGCAGGGATGTTTTGTCAGTCTTGTTCACTTTTGATTTCTTAATCGTTTTTACAAATGACAGATGACGTATCAAATATTTGTGGCGCTATCTCGTTTGTAACGTGGGACCATCAATACGGTAGTCGGTTGAGAAATGTACTGGTTACAAATAAAATGCGTACCAAGGACTTAAATCACTTTGACATTTTCAGGACATTGGGCGTTGTGCCTTTTGTTCATTAAACACACAGTTTTCGCCTCTTTTTTTCTAAGGCCCGTGTAAGGCGAGTCTACTACCATTCATATAATTATTGCTAAAATTCAGAAATACTTAGTACAAACTTGGAATCGAACCGAGACCGACTCCTTGAACTCACTCGAGGCGGTCAATAAGGTTTTAAGATTTTATTCGTACTCATTAACATAATAGTCTGAATCGGTACGTGTGTTAATACTCCACCCCAATGGGCCACTCAATCACTCACCGTGGACAAAATAATGGAAGTGATAAATGCAGAGTTTCCGCAAACAATTACTCCACTAGTTTCCCTCGGTAGAACTCAATTTTCGGCACGTTAACATTCTGTATGAATATTTTACTAATTCTGTTAAAAAATAAATATTCGCACTTTGTTCATATGTACTTACTTACATACTAAGACAACTTAAGCTACGTTTTAGTATAGCATTTGGAATTAAGTAACTATGAACTGATAAATTTACATTTATTCTAAACGTTTTCCGAATATTTTTCTACGTTGACTCCTGAAGAAATCCTTAATCTATCACTTGGAACGATAACTCGCCATTGACTATGCACTCGATAATTATGAACTTAATAATTATGTTTTTCATTTACTTTTAAGTAGCACTTAAGTTTTAAATTTAAATTTAAATAAGAGTAAATATAATAAAAGAAGCTACAGAATGACTAAACAAACATTAAACGATCATGTTTTACAAGTCAGATAATATAATAGGCGTGTAAGGAAGGCCTTGGTTTGCAGATCATGCGATATGCGATGATGTATGTACAAGTTGTGTTCAGATTTATTGTCTGCTGCGGACCGCTTTTAGGCCACTGTGCGATTGTATCGCGCTCAGGCTGTTAGTAAAATTGTTGAATGAAATTTAAATATTTGTTGAAGATTGAAATTTCCTTTTCTTATGCCTATTGATATTAAAAATTTAGGCCTTTGATTACTAGCTATGTGATTGAAGAAGGTATACCGTATCTTTTTTTTTAAACGTTGCCCTACACTAGGATTTTCTCCTGTGTCGTGGGTGAGTTTACAAACATACAAGTTCACATACACATGACACCCAGACCCGAAACAACAATTTGTGGATCACACAAAGAGTTGCTCCGTGCGGGAATCGAACCCACGACACGTTGTATGGCAGCCGGTTGCCCAGCCACCTCACCAACCGTGTTGTATACTAAACCTTTCTATGCTAATATTAGCAAAGAGTAAAGATTTCGTTATTGAATAGGCTCGGAAACTACTTGAACGATTTAAACAAATCACACACCATTTGGAAAGCATCAGTTATCAGGGAGTAATAAAAGTAACTACATCCTAAAATTCTATCAGGATCGAGATGGCATGATGGAAAGCTGGCTTCAAATATTGACTCGAACAGCTATTTCGAGTATACTATAGTTTAATCTTCTTTATCAATGAACTCTGCAACAATTCCCGTTTGTATTCAGTACAGACTGATTCCCACACAGGTGGGATATTTGAATATAATTGCATTATCGGCAAGACACGGCTCTGCATTAGCATACACAAGCTCAAATTGTTTCGTTTGATTTATTACGGTACTCCCTTGTTGGCTCGCTGCGTAATTGCGGTGCCGACTCTACGCTGAATAAATTATTATGCGATTTCAAATGGACGTTATGTTTGTTTAACTCGTCGAGTACCGGTTTTGTAGACACAATTATAGAACAATAGGTTGCGGTCACCGGTGACCGCTTGGTGTTTGACAGTTTAAATAACACGATATTGTTTCCATTATTGTGGTTAGATATTTTATTATTAACCGTCGATAGGATAAGTTCTATAACCATTGATTTGAATAGATTCGGAAGAAATGGATTCAAAAAGATTAGATAGAGGTGTCTTGAATATAACTTATTTATCTACGAAAATAATTATACTGTTTTAGGTATGAAAGCACTTCAATTTATCATTGTCACCTTAAATAAAAGCAGAATCACACCTGTTTCTTTGGTTGGATGTTTGTCTGACAATCACGTTGAAACTACTGAACCGATTTTAATGAAATTTGGTATACAGGCAGAGTATGGGCTAAATTAGGTGATAGGTTATTTTTATCTTGATTAAATACTCCCATGGGATAAAACAGGAATATGCGAACAAAGCCGCTTTCAGAAGGAGTATTTCATTTCATTATAAGTTTTTTTTCTTCATTGGCATATTCACTCCAAATCTACATACGATCGTCAAAGCATCATAATAATGCTGATTATACAGGCTCTCTTAAACTTTTTGCTTAAAATTTTCTTACTAAAACGTGACTTTTATATTCCAGGCGAAGGTTCCTGCAACAGCAATGACGGCTACAGCCAGAGAACCCCAACAGACGACAAGTCTCCGCCAGGCAGTGACGACGAGTCAGCTCGACCTGGCTCAGCAGCAGACAATAAGAAGAAGCATCGGCGGAATAGAACGACGTTCACCACATACCAGCTACATGAACTGGAAAGGGCTTTTGAGAAGAGCCACTACCCTGATGTGTACTCCAGAGAGGAACTCGCGATGAAAGTCAACCTCCCCGAAGTCAGGGTGCAGGTTAGTAATCAACTATAGGTTTAGTTTTTAGGACTGACCATGATCGTTTTAATTCGAAAACTCTTGTAGTTATGAAAATTATTCAGTGACGGCCAAAAATGTGGATCTATTATATAGATGTCACCATTTCCATATTTTTCCACCAGTTTATAAGAATCAGACGCATTATAACTTGAGTGAATAGAAAATGAACTAAACGATTTTCTCTTAATATTAAGTGAAATAAATACACTTTGTAAACTTTGAGTGAAGGGCCCTAAGGGAAAGGGTAAAGGAGCAATAATGAGCCCAAGGGGCTTATGCCACTCAATCCCCTTTAGCTTTGCAGGCCGAACATATGTCGAGCGTATAGATGCCCCACCAAATATCCTGACCCTCCCCACTTGACATCAACGAACAAAAACTAATGCATTACAGAAAGCGCGACCAATTTCAGAGATCTTATTAAACTGGTCGTATCTTAATTGCTTTCTTATGCCACTGCAAAATGATTATGGTACACGTATTTTGGTTCTTACTCACTTGATTTAGAGTCCTTGGATCCGCATTAATAAGTTTGTAAAACGGCTATTTGCCAAATAATGCGGTTGTGAACTAATCTGACACTTGGTTTTCAATATAGGATAAGCTGATTTTAATAGTGTGTGCAAAAATGTCATTGCTTTTGTTAACAGCAGTAAGTTCCGCTCGTTCATTTGTAGTTTTTGCTTCGAAGTCGACAATTTATTATTGTTGTGTTGTGTATAATCCTTGGCATAACAGCTACATTGTAATACACAGCTGCCTTCATTGATCAAAATGCAAGCAATTTTTAAATAGATAATGATTTGGAAAACACTCTACATGTCAGTTTTACAGTGGGAAGACTGTTCAAAATACAACAAACGAAGGATATGTAGGTACTATGATGTCATATGTGACTGCCTTGAGTTCGTGGTTGACAGTTTCTATTTTCTTACTTTCCACCATGTTAATAATGGGCTAAACATACACCTCCATCTCCTCTCTATAGGTACTTTCTTTCTTTTTCATCTATACTAATGTTATAAAGAGGAAAGATTTCTACCTATTTTTGTATGTTTGTAATGAATAGGCTCAAAAAGTACTGGGCTGAATTAAAATATTCTTTCACCAATAGAATGCTACATTCTTCCAATTTGACATAGGGTACATTTCATTTTGAAAAAAATTAGGGATCCTTGGTAAAATTTGAACAATGTAACCGAAGGTGTAGAAAAATTAGACTTAAAATGTCTTTTGTCGAATGTGCTGCCGAAACTATTAGCGATAGAACAAAATAATATAGAACAATATTGAAGAACATCATAATGTCTACAAAAAACTCCGCGGTAGCATATGGCCAACTATTGTAGTTATGTCACTACAACAATCTAAATTTCCAAAAATAAATAATTGTCTACCCGTGCGAAGCCGAGACGGGCTGCTAGTGTACATACAATTTCATTGGTCTAAATTATTGCCTTTCATTTTCGGAATTCACCATCAATTTGAAACTTAGTTCTTCTATCAACATACTAAAATTTCGACTCAGTTTGATAGAGTAGTCGTCGGAGGCTCGTCTGCAACGGAAGCGGCCGGTAATTCGCTTAAACTAGCGCCCAGACACCGACACCCCACTAGCGTAAGTGAAGTAGGTGCTAGACTCAGTTCTCGTTTACCTTAACGTGCTTATAGTGTTTGTAGGTAATGCTTCATTTAGTTATCTTCCAATGACTAAGTTCATACTTTTTGATGCTCCATAATTTAATTTGTGTCGACAATACGTTTTCATTTAAGGACCTTGAATTTGATTGGTTCTCAACCACTCCAGGCTTATAATACTAAAAGTGACTTATCCGTTCCAATCGAAATGTATAATTATTTAGAGAAACACAATAGGTCCCGTCCATATAACCCTTATAATTCCCGGCTCCACGATAAAACATATCACGGCTCCACGAGTCGACAAATGTGCAGAACACACATTATGTAACTCCTAACAATTGCGACCTTATCATAATCTTATCAGATCTCCTATACAAATTGATTCTTCTTTATAAAGTCAGTCGCACATAAACACTTCTATTTTGTCAAGCTCCAATTTATAAAGACCTCTTTAACGGAACAAACAATTTTTATTTAGGGTTCTATTTTCTCTGGACATTAACAATTGACCTGTCGAAGCTGACAACAAATTTACGCTGGTCTCTCATTCTGTTAAAGTGGTTAAGGATGGGGGTTTAGGTGTAATTGGTTATTTAACAATAGAGGAGTGCATTAAGCGTCAAATAGACAACAATGAGAAAGCGATGGTAATCGAATTCGGTGCGTTGATCGTAGGGTGACTATGATTTTATTAGGTTTAAAGCTAAAGTAAATGATGGATGTATTTTAAAAAAAACAACGTATCTATGTCATTCAATGAGTTAATTCGGTCTACAAAATATTGTCTTTGTTTACTTCTAGACTACTGAGAAAGAGGTATCAACTATCATAATTTTTATTATTTAATTTCATAAGGACCACTAATTATATGAAAGTAATCGAACTCAACTGGCTACCTATCATCGATATATGTTGTCACAATTTTCCACTGTTTTCCCTTCACATTCCCAGTGCACAGTCATTAGATGCTCACCCCAAACATCTCAATAGCTTGTCACTTATCGCAGTCACGCTCCACTTGCGACAAAATGTGCTAATAAACGTTTTTGTACCAAACACCCCGGTTACGATACCCCTTGTGCACTATCACACGCGAGAATGCACTTTATACGAAAATAGATTAAGTTCATTTTTCTTCTTTATTGTGTGAAGGGTCTCGGAAAATGAGTTCTAAAGTGTTTGTTTAGTGCGCAAGATTGTTTTGTGCGAATTTTAAGTGGTATTTATGTAAAATGATTCGCTTTTCGGAGTATTAAGTTCTCCAAATTTTTATTAACTCAACAGGTCACATCAACGGCAATTTAGAGACGATATACGATTTTAGTATCGAATAACCATAATGTTTAGATATCAAAAGCCCTGTTTGGTCTTAAAACTGCTAGTTACAAAGTTTGGTCATAATCAATATGCTTGATTCTAAGGCACCTTTCGTCACGGCTAACGATAGAAAAGTGAGTGTAGTATTATGTGATAATATTATGGATTTTAATTGCATGCAAGTCGTGACCAACATTCTCTGAGAGGCGTTTAACCTAGCCGGACACGTTGTAATTAAATGTCGTATGAAGCGTTTACATTACAAAAATCACTTAAACTAAAAGAAAATTACACTGTTAATAGCCCGAGGTGTTAATTGTGGTCAGTTGTTAAGAAAACCCCTAATTTTCCAGCGTTAGCAATAATTGCCGTTTCATTTACTACAAGAAAGGGTTCGTGGATGGCCATTAGCAGTTTTTGTTGTGTCACGTCGTTAGCGCTGTCTTACGTCTAGCTTCCGACTGGAATTATAATTACTTTTGTTGATTTACTAAGTGATTCGTGACGTGATATCGTCCCAGCACTTATATCGTGCGAATTAATTACGGTTTCTCCCACACTTAGTGTCAGAAAGGATGGACGAATTAAATTGCTACGTATATACTTCGTGATGATCCTAATAATATAATGATGCGAAAGTTTATGACGATCGATTGATGTTTGTTCATGTTTGTGCAAAAAGTTTTGATTTAATTTAAATGTAGTTTAATATGTAGGGTAGGTCGATCTAATCTGGCCAGGCAATACGACTACTTCTTCACACTGTATGCACATAAAAGTAAATTCATTTAGAATGCCAAGCAAAAAAAAAATATTTTGATTTTTGCTTAACTGACCTGCACTTATCGCAATCATTACGATCATAATGTCTATGCCTGTACAAATAAACTTTTTTTAATAAACCTTGAAACTAACGCCATAATTTACTGTATTCAGTATGAATAGACTAATTTACTATTATAATAGTTAAATAAACGCAATTTACACGGTCGTAAGCGATAATCCCGGGAAGGATTGTGAGCGGTGGGATTATGGTCGCCCTACGTTGCCCGTGTAAACGTATGCAGCTGTGGTGGTGTCGCGAGACTATGTACCAACGTGTTTTATTACATGCCTATAAATACTACGTACTATATAATTGTAGGTAAACATTGATTGTTGTAAGTTGATTGGTTAATCAAGTTGGTCTGCCGAGCGGTCACCGGTGACCGCAACCTATTGTTCTTTAATTGTGTCTATAATGACGGTACTCAACGAGAGGTGAACAAAGTTGCAAATTGAGCCAAAACGGACGATTTATTTTTCACAGTAAAAGATTTAGAATAAGACGTTTACTATGTTGATATTAGATATTCGCTATACAGCGGGTATTATTATAGTTCTATCTCATAGGAATCCATATCAGTGAACTATACACAAATCTAAATCCTCCGTAGCAAAAGACCGTAAACTGTGAACACAACAAACTTATTCATTTACCTATTTTAGTATGGTGATGGTTCATGTTAACTATCATCAGTTATTTCAATTATGAGATTAACAATTAAACAATACAATAAGGTCCTTGTCGTTCAACAAGGTTTATAAGTATGGGTACATATGGTTACATTTAATACAGTAAATACAGTAATAAAGTATTCAGCGACGTGCGGTTCGGGTTATTGGGTTTCGGGATGTTTCAAACCGGTTAACAACTACAGCAATGCATAGAGTAGAGCCGAGCTGTGCGTCTTCTTTCGCTTATACCACAGAGACTGCTCTGAGGATCCTCACACAGCAAAACTGTGGACTGATCTATCGTCGGCGGTATTTCCGAACCGATATGACCTTCAAACTTTTAAGAGAGAAAAGAAGAAATAAGAGCGCTCTCCTTATTAAAAGGCCGGCAGCGTTTGTAAGTAAGTACCTGTGAGTCCTCTAGTGTTGCAGGTTTTCCATGGGCGGCGCTGATCGCGTACCATCAGGTGATACGTATGCTCGTTTGCCTCCTAGTCCATAAATAAAGTACTTGTTTGAAA